ATGTTTGATGTGACCTGTGTTTTATAAAGTATAATAATAAATATTATCTTCATAATTCAACGTTTTTTTTCTAATATATTCCTCCTCCATACAGATATATGATCCAATTTGTAAGAACAGAAATTTAAAACAAACCAATTCTGCATGAAGAAAATCTAATATTTTAATAAAATATTATTTCCATTGAGTTTTACAATTGTAGTTTAATTTTAATACTTTATACGTATACAATTATAATTTTACATTTATATTAGTTATCACTGTATATTATTTCATTAAAATTGAATATGCATTCAAAAATTAAGTGAAAGTGAATTGAAATGAGTAAACTATTGATGCACACATTCATAAAAAGTGTAACTGAGCAAAATTACATTGAAATAAAAACAACAAGAATATGTAATTAATAAATTTTTTATTCCATCTACAATATCAAAGTGCTTTTAATGGATAAAATAAACTCTTCCTTATATTAATTTTTATAAAAACGATCTATGAATAAGAAGTCTTTACAGCACATTCGTGGCATACAAATAACCTCGGAACAAAGAGAAACACATCATGCATACTTTCGATGTACCGGTCCATACCGAGTAATTCAAACATACTTCGTGTGTGATTAGGCAAGCATGTGGATGAAGATCTACATAGCAAGGACGACTTAATAAATCACTTGACAAATAAAGTAACGTGTATTAGTATGACTACAGATTATTAATATCATTACTGCTATAACCAAAGCTAGTAACAAACGGTTTCCATGCAAGGTAGAGAAGGTGAAGGAATTCTGTAAAAGAAGACGCAATTAAGTCTTGACACATTCAACTTTAATGAATGCATCGGAATTAAAAAAAAATAAAAGTACATTATAAGGGTTATTTAATTAAATAATTTCTGGTAACTACCAGAAACATTTCTGATATTATTAACAGGAAAGAAAGTATAATTAAAATTGAATTTGTTACAAATTGTATATAGTATAATAAAAAAATTTCAAAACGGTGAAAAGTGATGGAATGTCAACGCGCAAGAAATAGTTACAATATGAAAATTTGAATAATAAAGTTATACGGATAGACGAAATATGTTTGCTCAGCCTCAGTAATTGATTAGGAAGATTAGATTCCTTATCATTCTTCTAACGCACTCGACACTCTTCACCAACGTCAAGTGCACCGTAAAGCGTCATGTACCCTGTCACTTATCAGCCAAATTAATTTTCTTCGCCTAGTCGTCAACGGCAATAAAGGTAGTGACACTGTTACGAAATAAGGAACAGTATTTTATAATATATTTCTTTAATCTCTTTTTATCTAATCTTAATTGGTTTGAAGTTAATAAAAGCGAGTAGTAAGTTTTTAAAACCATTGACCACTTATTTACATGGATTGATATGTTAACGAAATGTGTCAATGACATTTAACGACTTGTTTCATGGCATATAGAATTTTTTATCAGTTTCAAAAAAATGTATAAAATTTGTGTTTTATTCAATAACTTCGTTAATGTTTTTTTTTCTAGGAAAGTTTGTTTTATTTATTTATAAGTCTAATAATTTTTTATTGATTTACAGTATAAAAAGAAATGGATGAAAGACACAAAGAGGATACTGTTGTCAATAATGAAGAAGTAGAAAATAATGAGAATTTGAATTTTAACATTGAAAGGTATGATGCACAATAATTTAACTATTACAATTAAAAACAATAATTTATACAAATTGAATACATAAGAGTAATAAGATTGTTTAATAATAAGGAATGTACTGATTAAATTCATTTTTTTTAAATGTCAACTTAAAGATCTTTTAATAGACAATTTAATTTTGTTAAATATTATCTTTGTTTCTTTTATTAATTAGATATATGTAAACTGTGTATATCTTAAATCTAAACATCAAATTTATATCCTTTCAGATATAGCGATAATAATAAGGGGCAGCACTTTTTGCTTCCCAGTCCAAATGCACGTTCACCAAAAATAGCTGTGGAATACATTAGGAGATCTGACATCAGCCGATATAATCCAGCTTTGAGGAATCTTATACCCATACGTCATGAAAAATCGTGTGTATTTGAACAACTTCCTTAACATTAGAACTACTAAGCAGTCAAAGTGTAAAAGAAGTAATCAGGAATAGGTCATCTTGACCTGCTGGTAGCTTTACTGTTAATAATGTAATGGTTTTTGTACATTTGTTTTACATTTTAGAGACAAAGAAAGTATGCCAGCAGACAATGCTGGATTATTTTCATATGTTTTATATACTTGGATAACACCTTATATATGGAAAGCATATAAGAAGGGTATTAGTATAAATGATATCCCACATATATCATCTTATGAAAGTTGTAAATATAATACACAAAGGTAATTACTATATATAAATTCAATGGAAGTTAAGCTCATGAGTTTCAAATAGTTAGTTAAGCCAATTCTTTTAATTTGATTCTGCTTTGAATGATCTTAAACCTAGATTTAAAAAAATAAGAAAAATTAAATTTGACAATTTGACAACTTATTTTATAATAAATAGAAGTTCTGCTTCCAAGAATCACTGTCTTACATCATAACGGATCTATAAAATTATCTTTAGCTATAGAAATTGTACCTCTTGTAAAATACAATTTCATATGTAGATTGGAGGTACTTTGGCAAGAGGAGTTAAACGAGCGCGGTCCAAATATGGCTTCATTTCCGATGGTTGCTTGGCGATTTGTGCGAACAAGGATATATATTGCATGGTTCTTAATAACTTGTAGTACAATTTGTGGATTCCTAAGTCCTGTATAAGCTTTGGTTTTATATAATTTACTGAATATATATTCTATAAAATTGAAGATCATATAAATAGTTTACTTATTTCTTTCGTTTTCCAGATGATATTAATGAAGAAAGTATTAGAACACGTTCAATCTCCAGAAGAAGACGTGTGGGAAGGTATAAAGTGGGCAATATTATTAACATGTTGTGATGTTTTACGAATGATATTTTTCACTTGGACTTGGAATACAAACATTAGAACAGCGTTAAGATTAAAATCTGCTTGTATCAGTCTTTTGTACAAGAAAATTATAAGACTGAATAGCCTTGGAAATAAAAGTACAGGAGAGGTAATATTTAATTAATATTTATATGAATATTAAATAGAGTATGCACTATTAATTTCTTATGGTTTTAGATAATCAATTTATTTACTAACGATAGTCAAAGACTCTTTGAAGTGATTATTTATGGACCTATGGTCCTCAATGGCCCAATAATCGTCACTTGTGGTATAATTTATATACTGTGGATACTTAGTCCATTAGCTCTTCTTGGGACAGTTGTTTTTATTCTATTCTATCCTTTTCAGGTGCGTATGATTATTTTGTATCCTATATTTTTCTAATATTTTAGAATACGATATAAATATACATTTATTTTTTTAGTATCTCATATCTCGTGTAGTTGGATACTTTCGTTCGAAGACTGTTATTGTCACAGATATACGAGTGAAATTGATGAACGAAATCTTAGAATGTATAAAATTAATTAAAATGTATTCGTGGGAGAAATATTTCAGTCGCAAACTGTTAGGTACGATCACTTTTAAGTAAACTATGGTAAGTAATATTTATATGTTTAAAATATTATTACGTTTGTATTGTCATTTAGATATACGAAAGAAGGAAGAACACTGGTTACATAAAACTGTATACTTTCAAAGCCTTGCAATTTCTTTAACGCCAGCTGTACCTGCAATATCTGCTATCATTACAGTTTTAGCTCATTTATCGTCGAGCAGTAGTATCACTGCCGCTCAGGTATACTAATTTTTAAATATCATTGAATCGATAATAATATTGAAGGTTCCAGTTTTATCATATTACACAACTGAATGAATTTTACGGAGGAATATTAGAATAAGTAATTTCGTAATAAAAAGATTATTACTTCAGTGGTCAATGGAATCGTTTATATCCATGCAAAATGCTTAAGGATGTCTGAAGTAACAATTTCGTTTAATGCAATATATATTGCAGGCTTTCCCAGTTACAACATTTTTTGGAAGTATGCTGAGATTGGCCCTCGTTTCCCTTAAGGACTCTACACGTTATTTTTTCGACGCCCGTATTACCCTTAGAAGACTCAAGGTCTCTCAAAGATTAAGTTTAAATTAATGGGTTTAGCCATAAGTAAGATCCGTTATAAGTAGAGTATAATTGTTGTTCCAAGCATTACCCGATTATACTTCTATAATAAAGACTATTAGAAAATTGTCTCTAAGTTTAAATTTAAAAATTAAAGTGTCAAAAAAAGTTCAAGTAAAAAATAAGCTC